AAGGTCTGGGTTGCGTGTTAATGCAGACTGGGCGAGTAATTCCTTACGCCTCTCGGCAGTTGAGGCCACATGAAAAGAATTACCCAACACATGACTTAGAATTGGCTGCAGTTGTATTTGCTCTAAAAATCTAACGGCATTACTTGTATAGGGCAAAATGTGAAGTCTACACGGATCACAAGAGTTTGAAATACTTCTTTACGTAAAAGGAGTTGAATAAGCGACAAAGAATATGGCTTGAATTGATAAAAGATTATGACCATCCGGTTCAGTATCACCCCGGGAAAGCCAACACAGCTGTTGATGCCTTGAGTAGAAAATCGACGGGGAATTTAGCTTGTTTGCTTACCAAACAGAAGGAGATCTTGCAAGATTTGAGAAGTCCAGGATTGAAGTGGTATTGTGTAAAGAGGACGGATTGATGGCCGCCATTTTCAGTCGAACCAGCAATCATTGATGAGATTAAACAGAAACAAAAAGATGATGAATTCCTCAAGAAAGTGATTGATGAATTTGAGACAAGCCCGAAAGTAGAGTTCAGCATTGAAAGTGAAGTGTTGAGATTTTGAGACCGAATGTGTGCCCCAGATATTCTGGAACTAAAAAAGAGAATTCTAGATGAAGCCCACAAATCAGTATTTGCTATGCATCTGGGTAATAACAAAATGTATCGAGACATGAAGCAAAGCTATTGGTGGCCCAAAATGAAAAAAGAAATTGCAGAGTATGTGTCTAAATGCCTTCAATGTCAGCAAGTTAAAGCTGAACATTAGAAACCAGGTGGCCTACTTCAACCTCTCTCTATTCCTGAATGGAAGTGGGAGCATGTGACTATGGACTTTGTTGTTGGTCTACCTCAGACTCCTTGAGGTATGGATTATGTTTGGGTTGTAGTTGATAGACTGACTAAATCTGTACATTTTCTACATGTTAGAACTACATTCGATGCTTATAGATTGGCTACTATATATGTTGATGAGATTGTTCGTTTACACGGAGTTCCGGTATCTATTGTCTTGGATAGAGATCTGAAATTTGTATCTAGACTGTGGAAAAGTTTGCAAAGAGCTATAGGAACATAATTGAGGTTCAGTACCACATTCCACCCACAGACAGACAGGCAATCAGAACGGACAATACAGACCTTGGAGGATATGCTAAGAATGTGTGTCTCAGATTTTCAAGGGAGTTGGGAAGATTACTTGCCACTAGCAGGGTTTGTATACAATAACAGCTTCCACTCCAGCATCGGTATGGCACCATAGGAGGCTTTATATGGTAGAAGGTGTAGATCACCAATTTGTTGGACAGAAGTCGGGGATAGGGCTCTACTTGGGCCTAAAATGGTGCAAGACACTTCTGAGAAGATCAAAACAATTCAGCAAAGGCTCAAGATAACTCAAAGTCGGCAAAAGAATTATGTGGATGTTCGAAGAAGACCTCTTGAGTATGAGGTTGGTGACCATGTGTTCATTCATGTGACTCCGATGAAGGCCAAAGTAAGGTTCGGTAAAAAAGGAATATTGTCGCCCCGTTACATTAGGCCGTTCCAAATTCTAGAAAGGCTTGGTCCGGTTGCTTATAGAGTTGCTTTACCACCGAGATTTGAGCAAATCCATAATGTATTTCATGTATCAATGTTGAGGGGTTATCTTCGAGATCCGTTTCATGTGATTGATTATCACCGGATAGCTCTGGATGAGAATATGGAATACGCAGAATGGCCGGAACGAATCATTGACCAGCAAGTGAAGCAGTTAAGAAGCAAGTCCATCCTGATAGTGAAAGTGGAATGGAAGGAACAATATGGGACGAACGCTACATGGGAAAAAGAGGATGAAATGCGACTACGCTATCCACATCTGTTTCCCAACGAAGGTAAAATAAGTTTGGAGGACCAAACTTCTTAAAGGAGGGAAGACTGGGATAACCCTGTTCTATATTATGCTAATTGATCATAATTATGATTGTGATTATGTGTTTAATATCATTTTGAGTGTCATGTATATGGTTGTGTGTGATTTTGAATTTCTATCTATTCACCGTAGGAAAATCTGTTTTACTTACTGTTAGGAACTGAAAATTGAAGGCCTTATCGGCTACAGAAAACGAAATTGACTACGCCATTGTGCTTGGCGTAATTTTTAAAACCTATGATGAAATTTAATTAAAAATTGATTCGGATCAAAATAATTAGATTCAGAACGATTAAATTAAGCTTAATTGCTTAGCCTAATCAAAAAAACATATATAAGGGCCTTATTACACTTAAACTCTTCATTTTGTGAACTCAAAAATCTGGTTATACACTCCAGAGAGAGAGAGGGCAGGTTCTAGAGGGAGGAAGAGGGAGGATTGTGTATTTTGGCTCAAAGTTTGTGAATTTGGAAGCTATACTCAAGATTTAGCTACAATTGTGGAGATTAGAGCTCTTACGTGAGTAAATTCATGAGTTTAAGTTCATCCTTGCAAGAATTCTAGCTTGTCATGTGACCAAGAGCAAGAATTTAGTTGAATTTGATGTATTTGAAGTCAAAGAATACTTGCATGTAAGAAATTGCCATATAGTTGCATATTTGAATGTAAAGCATGTTGATCATGATGAAATTGAGATAAATGTGTGCATGCGTGTAACAATTTGTTATGAGTCTTCATGTATGTGTATTAGACATGTTGAATGAGTTGACTTGGAGGTCATCTTAGGCATGCATCCACGAAAAATGGGGTTATGGGACTCAACTACATGTTTTGAAGATGATGAACCTATGTAAGATCATACATGCATGAGCTTCAAAATTATGAACATGGAATTGGATGATTAAACTTGATTTTGAACAATTGGCCTCATATTGTTTACATCCTTATGATAATATAATGTGTTCCCACATTTTTTAACCAAAACCATGAGTTTTGGGCCTTTGAATATCAAGTTTGAGCTTCAAGAACAATTCTAGAAATTACAGAATTTGGCATGTCCGCTCGAGCGGGAAAAGGGCCGCTCGAGCGTGAAATGTTAGTTCCTAGAATTTTTGCAGACATTGATGTTCGCTCGAGCGGGGATATTCACGCTCGAGCGCCAAACCATGAAATTTGACTTCCAGCTCGAGCGTCCAAAGTCACGCTCGAGCATAAATATGAGGCAACCAGTACTTTTGCAGACCTAACGGGTCCGCTCGAGCGGCATAAACAGCGCTCGAACAGGGAGCCTTGTTTTAGAAATTTTGTAAAAATGATTCTAAGTTTTGTTTTCCGTTCTCTTTCATTTCTAAACACTCTTAGGCATACATTGAATATTGTAAATGGATTAAGAAGATAAGAAAGAAGCCTAAGAGGAATGTATAAGTTAAGAACGGATTGAATCGTTTGTGACCCGATATGTGTTATGTATTATGTAGGGTCGAGCACAAGGATGAATCCACCGGCAGAACACTGTGAGTAATATCTTAATAAAGATATCTGAAGTATGTGATTTGTCCAATTATTTACTCTTATTTGAGTTTCATAAGCTTGTTAATTTGAAAGGTGGGCAATATTTGTTATGCCCAATGATTGGGCCAAGGCCCTTGAATATGAATGATTGGGCCAAAGGCCATTTGACACGAATGATTGGACCAAAGGCCGTCGGATATGAATGATTGGGCCAAAGGCCGTTTGACATGAATGATTGGGCCAAAGGCCGTCGGATATGAATGATTGGGCCAAAGGCCGTTTGATACGAATAAATTGGGCTTGAGGCCGTTTGATACGTCTAGATTTGTAGTCGTTTGATACACTAAATAGAAATATGAATTGGACCCAAGGCCGTCCAATGTATCTATTTCAAATTTCGTTCATGTATCTTCTTTATTTGATATTATGCACTGGGCCTTCACTCACTCTCATTCATGTGTATATAGGTGAGCCAAGAGATGTCCAAACCCAGCCCCGGTAAAGTATGTGAGAAACAGTCAAGTTTGAGGAGTCAGCCCAAATGTCTCACGCACGTGACTTGTTTTTTCCCTTTTGTTCTTTTGCTTTGTCATAAATTTTGCAATGTTGGCGAAAACGTTGGATCACCTTTGTATATAAGTTTTGGCTTGGCTGACTAAGACTTGAATGATCCTGTGTGTATAAAAACTTCAAGTTATTTTCTGTTTGGTGTAAGTTATTAACAAGTACATATGTTTGATACGTTTGATGTACCATGTAAGCACAGCTCTATGGATAATTTTTATGTTTGCTTCCGTTTGGGCCCTTAACTCTGATGATATATGTTTATTTGGTTTGAGGCCATAGGTAATCCCTTGATTATTGGCCAGTTATGACCTTAATCCAAGGGGGCGGGTTCAGGTCATGACAAAAGGGGATCACCCCCTCGAACCCACAACCACCACTATAGGGGTTGGAGAGCATACACTGGCGCATAAAGCCATGGGTTCAATCCACACTTGATTCAGATAAATTTGCCTCTCTTTTTTTGTTTTATTTATTTTTTATTATAAGTAACCTTGTGACCCCACTTTCGGTGAGACCAGGTAAGAACCCCAAACAACCCTGGGATAAATTTGACTATCTATGTTGAACATGTACAGGACATGTTACTGACCACCACCACAACACTTGCATTCAACGAGATATCCTCTCTTATTTTTGTACATTATCAAAGTTTTTTGTAACAGTATTATTTAACTCTCTCTAGCCCAATACAACCTACAAAAATATTTGTACAAACATATCCACATAAATTTTTACCATTTTATCCAAGTGACTAAGTTCCCAATCCAAAATAAAATAAAATAATCATGTAGCTTCCGAGTTTTAAGTGATATCCCTGTAGGGGCTAGTGGGTCTTTAGCTATAGAACAAAACTTAAAAGCAACAAAAGCATATTGAATTCTGAAGCTATAACAAATCAACAAAACACAGTTGGTAACTGTAGAGAGAGAGAGACAGATGCATAGCACAATGGCATGTAGTGCACACAGTTTGTTAGCAAGCAATGTAAGTGAACTTATTAATACCTCTTTGAAAGAATGTACATCACTTCCCCATAGCCAAGCATCACAACCTGCATCTCTGGCACCCCATATATCATTTCTACGATCATCCCCCACATGAACAGCATCCTCAGGCTTTACTCCCAACGACTCACAAGCTTTTATAAATATGGTGGGATTTGGCTTCTCTGCTTCAACCTATTCGTGAGGAAAGATAGAAATTGAACAATACCATTGGAAGAGTGCAAAGAAAAAATAAATAGGTCAATACTTACTTCAGCTGATATTGCCACGGCATCAAACCAGTAATCACAATTCAGAGCCCGCAAGACAGGCCTCAATCGAGTGTCAAAGTTTGACACAATAGCTAATTTTACACCAACATTCCGTAGGGTCTTAAATACTTTTTCCGCGTCAGGATCACAGAGGTGCCATGCCTTTGGATAGACAAAAATAAAAATTTACTTGAAAGTCAGATGGTAATGTGATCTGTTGCTATAATTTAAGAGCTAATTAATATATCAGACAAGGTTTGGTTAGCATTTTGGAAGTATTTACCTCACTTTTCCTACACACAGCACACCATTATCTATACCCCCCTCCAAAAAAAAAAAAGAAAAAATAGAAAAAAGAAAAAGCATTCAATAACCCCAAAACAATTGCAACCAATCAATGCCTTAAAGCTAACCTTTTCAGTGGTATAATAATTGTACAACTCCTCGAAGTATTGAGAATCTGAACAACCAGTTGAAGAACTGACTATATGTTGCCAGAATGGTCTTCCATCTTTAACATATCTGCAATTTAGTAAACACTTTTATAAATTGATATTGCCTATTAGGAGAAAATAATTTTTGCAAACTATGAATGGAGAAAACTTTTACCTTTGTAGAAAAGGGTCATGAAATTTTGTTACTACTTGTATCACACTAATTAAGGGGAACAATGCCTAAAATGTCCTAAGAGTTGAAGAGACAAAATTCCCTAGAAGAATTTCGAATAGTCTAGAGAAATAGCACCTTATATATCTTTAGGAAAATCATGCAAGATGCAATCTCGATAATTGATAATAAAACCGGTTACCCTAAAAGTGTAAGCCATAAAGAATGACATGGCTCATATATTTATTTCACCGTGTGCCCCTCAAACTTTACCACACTCCTGATGAGTGAGGCATGCACATCTATGTTACCTGGACCCTTAAAACTAAATCAAATACTCGTGTTAGACACCCGACACATGGACAAGGATGTGTGCTATGTGTCTCTGATACTTTCTATCAGACACTTCTTATACATTTAAAAATATTTGTATTTAACACTATCATTATGTGTATATATATTGTTGTATAATAGCTATAAAATACGTTTTTGTTAATGTATGTTACATATAATAACACCATTTTATCTCAAATAAATATGACCCTTTTTATGCCAAGTCCTCATGCTTTTAAATTAGAGATTTGGATCTCTAGAAGAGCATCCACACCAGACACTTGTATCCGAGTCCATGCAACGTAGATTCACAATAATGATTTATCTTACTAGTATCCAGGGAAGGATTTTAAAATTGATAAAGATCCTACGTGCTCTATCACCATGTCAAGAATCAGACAACTAGTACTCTAAAAGCTAAAGCTAATAGAGAGTGATTAACTTATGGATTCATCTCGCCACTCATTTAGATTTGGGAGAAGTTTGTGAAAATGAAATACAAGTTCAATTTTGTGTAACAACTATATGCAAGCTCAATATAGATGAATTAACTATAATTACCAAAAAAACTATTAAAATAACAACAAAGCAACTTTTTGAATCAATAAATAACTCCTCCTTATTGACGTTGACAAATTGAGTCCAGCTAGTAAACGAAAAGATAAGAAAATCATTAAATGTCAAATTTGCTTTCTCTAAAAACAAACCGCAACCCTTAAGATTAAATTAATTTTGAGACCTATGTATAAAAATTTGTGACCCATGTCTTACCACAAGAAAAAGGTAATTTCAATTTACTCAATTTTGCCCCTGAACTTTTGATTGTCTCAAATTGGTTCAATTGATTAAAATTTTTAGCATATTCATATGCACATAAATGTGTTTTTAGGGGCAGATTTATAAACATGATCAACTCAATGAGTTAACCTCAACCAACTCAGTAATAATTTTTTTTATTATTATTAAAAATCCTAATGGCATTGTCAATTAGAAAAGAGATACAAAATCTAAAATTAAGAGCTAAAACTGAGTTAATTGAAATTGCAGGGACCAAAATAACACAAAGGTCAAAATATAGGGACTACCTATGAAGCACGGATACTTCAAAAAGGGAGACGTATCCGTATTGAATACTTATCGGATACCGATACTCCTTGGATACTCACAGATACGTATCGGATACTTCTTAAAAGTATCAGATGCTTCTTAATTAATTTTTTATTAATTTTGAAGTATCGGATACTTAATTTTGAAGTATCGGATACTCGAAGTTACATATTAATTATAATGTTTTGTTTAGTTCTTTGATAAGAGGAATATAGTGAGAGTTAAAGTAATAGAATTTGTCAAATTGATGTATCATTATTGTCTCTCTCACTTCTCTCTTACTTTCTCACTCTCTCACATTTCTTCTCTCTGCTCTCATTCTTTTTTTGGTGTTGGCATGTAAGGATGATGTTTAATTTGCATTTGCTTTTACTTTTACTTTTGGATGTTTTATGAATGTTTGAAGACTTTTCAAGTGCTCGCCTCCTATGAAGCACGGATATTTCAAAAAGGGAGACGTATCCGTATCGGATACTTATCGGATACCGATACTCCTTGGATACTCGCAGATACGTATCAGATATTTCTTAAAAGTATCGGATACTTCTTAATTCAATTTTTATTAATTTTGAAGTATCGAATATTAAAGTATCGGATACTCGAACTTACATATTACTTATAATATTTTTTTTAGTTCTTTCATAAGAGGAATATAGTGAGAGTTAAAGTAATAGAATTTGTCAAATTGATGTATCATTATTGTCTCTCTCACTTCTCTCTTACTTTCTCACTCTCTCACATTTCTTCACTCTGCTCTCATTCTTTTTTTTGGTGTTGGCATGTAAGGATGATGTTTAATTTGCATTTGTTTTTGCTTTTAGTTTTTGATGTTTTATGAATGTTTGAAGACTTTTAGATTAATAAGAATCCTTCTCTTTATTTATTAATTTACTTTAAGTTTTATTTTTATACATATTACATTATTAAAATTATAAAAATATTTTTTTTACGAATGTATCCCCGCCACCGTACCCGTATCATACTTTTTCAAATTTTGACATATCGCCATATCCATATCCCCATATCACCATATTCGTATCCGTATCCGTGCTTCCTAGGTTATCATTGATGACTTAAAAAAGTACAATTGCTAAAAATTTTATTTAAGAATGGTTTTTTGGCTTTAGCTAAGGACCTGTGATATTCACTGATGAAGGGGAATAAGTTGAAGCCATTGACCTTGAAGACTCTTAGTTTTATAAGAATCTTTCTTCTTTATCAAGTTGTCTTTTGTTTTAAGTTTTACTTTTATGCATATTGCATTCCTAAAAATTGTAAAAATAATATTTTTTTACGAACGTATCCCCGCCGTACCAGTATCCTAATTTTTCAAATTTTATCATATCGTCGTATCTGTATCATATTGTTTCCGTATCCCGTGTCTATATCCGTGCTTCCTAGGGGACTACTGATGTAATTTTCCCATAAGAAAACTTTGGCTCCTCCCAAATATCATAATTGAAAGATTCTATACATGTTCAATCAACATGGCTATCCTGAAAAGCAATTTAATTACTCTAGTACTGTATTAGCGAATAAAAGGAAAGGTTTGGTATAAAATCAACTAATTAATAACATTCAAGTTACATAGTTCTCTGCTTCAATGGTTAGAATAGGAAAGCTATAGTGGGTGAAAAAGAAAGCATATCCTGATATAAAGCAAACAATGGTCATAATGTATAATTAGATGCAATTGAAACACAAAACCCACCTCTCTAATTATCATAACTTAAACAAAAGAAAGTTATAATTCTTGCTTTTGATATCATACAAAAATGAATTAAATACGGGTCATCAAAAATCACATTTAATCCTCTAGGTAACTCCCAAAATATTTTCAAATCCAACCATGCAAACTAAATTAATTCCGAAACTAGTAATGATATGTTCAAACTTGTCAAGGATAATAAATCACCTGAGTCGAGATCTGCCCCAAGGCTGCTCATAAGCCCTTCTGTATTTGTTTAATATCTTAGTTTCTGAGTACTCAACGCCATATTTCTCGCCAATCTGTCTATAAATCTGCCATAAAGACATTAAGAGAGAGAAAGCAATGAGATATATTTAATGCATATATATATATATATATGTATGCAAAGAAAGTAAGTTACATTGACAAATATATGAATTCTGAATGTAGAGAGGTTAATTTCAACTTTATCCTCTAAACTATTGTCATATTTTCTACAGCAAGTTACGACGGTAGTCCTAGGGGTGTTCAAATTAACCAGTGAACCGAAGAATTGAACCGAACCGTCCTCTTTGGGTTGGGTTGGGTTGGGTTGGGCTGGTTTGATTTTTGAGTGCATTAGTTTGGTTCTGGGTCATCAAATTATCAAACCGATAGGATTGTGTTGGTTCTTGGTTTAGGCCTTGCCTAAACCGAACAAATCTGACAACCGAACCTATATATATATATATATTTTTTTGTCGAATTTTTTTTTACATCAATTGATCTATTGCAATGGACTTGATTGCACCTAATAATTTTCCGTATACAAGAATTTTTAGGTGAACAAAGGAAGAACTAGAAGTTTGAGTCAATTTCGTAATCTATTTAATTTGTGTTGGTTGTATTAATGAATTTTATTGATATTGGTTATGTTTAAGTTTGAGATGGATTTAATTTGTATTGATTTGTATTAAATAATGTTTTTCATTTGTATTATGTTTAAATATTAAAGACTTGTTTATTTTAATTATTTATTATTGATTGATTCATTTATTTTTAATATAGTAGAACCGCGGTTTTAACCCAAACTATATTGGGTTGGGTGGGGTTGGTTCTAGTGCATGATTGGTTTTGTTCTGCGTCCAAAATTTTGGAATTGATCATGATTGAATTGGTTCTAAATTTAGTGCCAAATTGAACCAAAGCGACCCGTGAACACCACCCTATATTTTGGTCCCAGTTTTAGTTGGCATTATTTTGACCCTGAAATTTATGATTTTGTCTGAATTTAGTCTAATTGATTACAACTATTTACATTTTTTTTAGGAAAAATATGTACATAAGTAACACGTGTCATAATTTTAAGGGTAAAATTATTCTTTGGGTTGGGTTGGGTTGGGTTGGGCTGGTTTGGTTTTTGAGTGCATTAGGTTGGTTCTGGGTCATCAAATTATCAAACCGATAGGATTGTGTTGGTTCTTGGTTTAGGCCTTGCCTAAACCGAACAAATCTGACAACCGAACCTATATATATATATATATTTTTTTCTTGTCGAATTTTTTTTATATTAATTGATCTATTGCAACGGACTTGATTGCACCTAATAATTTTCCGTATACAAGAATTTTTAGGTGAACAAAGGAAGAACTAGAAGTTTGAGTCAATTTCGTAATCTATTTAATTTGTATTGGTTGTATTAATGAATTTTATTGATATTGGTTATGTTTAAGTTTGAGATGGATTTAATTTGTATTGATATGCATTAAATAATGTTTTTCATTTGTATTATGTTTAAATATTAAAGACTTGTTTATTTTAATTATTTATTATTGATTGATTCATTTATTTTTAATATAGTAGAACCGCGGTTTTAACCCAAACTATATTGGGTTGGGTGGGGTTGGTTCTAGTGCATGATTGGTTTTGTTCTGCGTCCAAAATTTTGGAATTGATCATGATTGAATTGGTTCTAAATTTAGTGCCAAATTGAACCAAAGCGACCCGTGAACACCACCCTATATTTTGGTCCCAGTTTTAGTTGGCATTATTTTGACCCTGAAATTTATGATTTTGTCTGAATTTAGTCTAATTGATTACAACTATTTACATTTTTTTTAGGAAAAATATGTACATAAGTAACACGTGTCATAATTTTAAGGGTAAAATTATGAGTTATTCAACTCAGTGGTCCTCAAAGTTGTCAATTTGAATCAATTTAGTCCTAACTAACGTTTGTCTACATTAATAATGAGAAATAAAAGTAAAATACAGTTTTAGTGTCTAAAGTATGTGTTGTGTTTCTTGTCATTTTCGTCCCTTCAATTTCAATTTTGTCATTTTGGTCCTCGAAATTGTCAATTTGAATCAATTTGGTCATACCATTTAACATCCGTCTACATTGATAACGAGAAAAGTATTTTATCCTTGTTTTTAGAGTAAATTACATCGACGGCCCCTCTTATGTTTTTTTTTTTTTTTTGAAATATTAGTGTCACTCTTTAATCCTTAAAACTACTCTCACATCCCTTGTTAGCTACCTCCGTCAAATGAAATGGTTAAATGACTATAACACCTATCTAGATGAATCAAATTTCATCTATCAGCCACTACTCTCAACTTTACTTAGAGTGGGTTTGGTAATTGGTTATTTTGATTTTTTGACTAAAATATGTGGTAAAAAAATTGAAATGTTTGGAATAACTTTTTACTTTTTATTTTTTTTACACACAAACACAAAATAATAATAATAATAAAATAAATTGTGTAAAAAGTAGAGAGAATGAGAGTGAATTTTTGACTTTTTTTTGTATGACTTATTGAACTTTTTACTTTTTTTTTAGTAACTTTTTTAACTATATTAACACCATACCAAATGATCTCTTAATCTATTTCTTATGATGGTCGTGATGTGGAGTTTGAGTTACTAACAAAAAGAAGAGAGAAATGTGAAAGGTGTTGTGTATGGCAAGGTAAACAGGACGAAACAGAATGAAATTGACAATTTTGTTGATCAAAATAATAAAATTGAAACTTATCTAAAACTGTTTTTTATTCATATGGTTCTCATTATCAATGTAAACAGATATTAAAATTAAATGAAATTGACTCAAATTAATATTTAAAGAATAAAAAAAATTAAATTAAATTTAAGAGACTAACTGACAATCATCACATAATTTGGACTAAAACTGTCTTTCCAACATTACACCCTACAATTGAACACTTATCTTCTTCTCTATATTTCATATCAAAATAGGGAATTTAAAATTTGTTTTTAGTTTAGTTGTTTAAATTTTGAAATGACCATTTTTCATCTCAAATGAAATTAGATTTTAACCATAATTAATTTGGACAATTTTTATTTTATTTTATTTTATTTATAATTAGCTGAAATTATGAACTTTAAGAGCTAAATAAATCAAATTAATAATTTAAGAATGAAATTAAACAAAACAAAACAAATTTTGTGATAGTTTAGGAGATTAAAAAAGAAAATCAAAATTAACCCAACATAGAGAAATATAAAGAGAAATGAAATGGGTAAATAATTCTAGAGAGAGAGAGTTTTAATTCGAGAGAGAAATGGGTACATAATTCTTGAGAGAGGGGGGGATGCATGCCTGGGCCATGGGCTGAGAGGGGAGAACAAGAGTGCCTACAGCGTCAACCAAGAGAGCCTTGTGAGTGATGTCACCATACAGAGCCTTCCTATACTCCTCGTAATCTTTCAAACTCACCATGTCCGACTCCAGAGAAGCCACCGAGGACGATAATGACTGACCCGAACCTCCAAATGGGTCGACCCGAAACTGTCTCGCAGCGCCATTAGAGTACGAAGCAGAAGCCAAACAGGGCGTTTTGTGGGTTGCTATTAAGATGCTCAGAAGATTACTGATCTTGGACTTTGTTGTCGCCATTAGAGTCATCTCTGTGCATCATTTGACGTTTTTGTATATCCAAGATTTCAATACCATTACCAACCTCTTCTCTCTCTCTCTCTCTCTCTCTCTCTTTCTCTCTCTCTCTATTATATATAAGGGAAGGGAGGGTCGCTGCGAAATGGCGACGGGCGACTTGTATTATTTACTAGTCTACCCTGCTTTGTGGGCCTTCTGTTATTATCTTTTAAACGCATTATATTTTAGACCTGGTTTAGTGATACGTCCAGAACTGATATATCAATTAATCAATTTTTTAATACATCATTAGAACTAGAATCGAGAATTATCAATTTTTTAAAAAATCATTACACCTAGAATCGAGAATTACAGAAAAAAAAAAATTCCAAATTTGAGTTGTAACAAAGTTAATCTTAAATTTTTAATTTTATCAATTTAAATTTAAATTTAAATCTACATCTTTTAATTTTTTTTCGATCTAAATCGTTTATTTATATTTGTTTAGTAAAATAAGAAAAAACTAAAATAAAAAATAAGAGTTTATGAGTCATTAAATTCAATGTAAATATATATAAAATATCTAAAATTCTCTTTTTCAAATTTAACTAGCCTGTCACCCGTGCTATGCACGGAATAATTATAGTTATTTATATTTATTTTAAATTTTTTTTAATATATAAATTATGCTTTATAAGATTTTTTATAAAAATAATTTAACAATTTTTATCACTAACCATAGTGTATGAGAGAAGTTGAAAAAGGTACTGCAGTAAGTATACAAAGATTGTATCTATAATTATTTGTATGAGGAGATTTTAAATGCTAATTCGGAAATTTTGACCAAATCAATAAATGCAGGCATGTGGAAAGACATGTGGATTGAAAAAAGTTAATAAATGTTAATTAGGGAATTTTGACCAAATTAATAAATGCTAAGTTTTTTTTTTTTAATAAAAAATTTAGAAAATTCAGAATGAGATATTGAAACTCCCACAGGCCTTGTGGGTTAAAAGCCCCATTTTGCTTAATATATAGTATAATAGATAGATAGTAACTATATACGGATTGTATCTATAACTATTTGCATGAGGGGATTTTATATGCTAATTAGGAGATTTTGACCAAATCAATAAATGCAGGCATCTGAAAAGACATATGCATTGAAAAAAGTTAATAAATGTTGATAAGGGGATTTTGACCAAATCAATAAATGTTGAGTTTTTTTTTTAATAAGAAATTTAGAAAATTCAGATTGAGATATTGAAGCTCCCACAGGCCTTGGGGTTAAAAACCCTATTTTGCTTAATATATAGTATAGGCTAGCCTATCACACGTGCTATGCACGGAATAATTATAGATATTTTATATTTGTTTTAGATTTTTTTTAATATATAAATTATGTTTTTTAAGATTTTTATAAAAATAATTTAACAATCTTATCACTAACCATAGTGTATGAGAGAAGTTGAAAATGGTACTGCAATAACTATACATGGATTGTATCTATAATTATTTGTATGATGGGATTTTAAATGCTGATTAGGGGATTTTAACCAAATCAATAAATGCAGGCATATAGAAAGACATGTGGATTGAAAAAATTTAATAAATGCTGATCAGGGGATTTTGACCAAATCAATAAATGCTGAGATTTTTTTTTAAATAAAAAATAAAAAAATTAGAAAATTCAGATTGAGATATTGAAACTCTCACAGGCCTTGGGGGTTAAAAACCTCCTTTTGCTTAATATATAGTATAGATTGCAAAAATATTTCATTCGTTGATTTTATTAATAAAAGTAGACAAATAATTTAAATTAAAAATAAATCAAAATATTTTTAGGCTTATGAAATCTAGGCGAACGAACAATTGATTGTTCAAACATCGTTTGAAAACTTGAATGAACTCCAAAATATGTTTAAGTTTAACTTATTCAATTAAGGAATTAAGGTTGAATGTGAGTTTTTAATGAGTCGAATATGAGTCAAGCTCGAGTTGTTTAGTTCATTTATCACCCTTATTATTTACTATTTAAGAGATAAAAATAAGTAAAACAAATTTTTAAAAAATCAAATTATTTGAAAGTTAAAGAAGAGATTTGTTTAATTTTTACCTTAAGAAAAATTACACATTTTTAGGTATTGGTGATATGCCTCCACCAAGGACTTAGCTTGAGAGGACCGTGAAGCTGAAGGAAGTGTTGTTATTTTGTACTTAGTGTTGAACAAGCCTAGGGCTTTATCAGTATTAAGCTTAAGACTCACTTTTGATATACCCAAGCATTGACTCGGAAAGATGTAAGCTTTTAGGGCATATGATTATATGTTTATCTTTCATTTCTTTTCACAATCTTGTAACACATGTTTTAGATTTAGGCAGGCCCGGCCCTGAGATTTCCGGGGCCAAAAGCCGATAATTAACTAATAAATTTTTGGAGTGTAGACACCCCATTTTTGACTGTTCTCAAGACTTAGGCGTCATCGTTTGAACACTCAATGATCATCCATGTTCGTGTTCGTTTTGAACGCCTGAAGGTCTTGGCGGAGCGCCTTCCCTTTCAGCCTTTGAAACTTGTCTGTTTTGTGCTTGGTTGTGGACCAAGACCTTGTTTCTTCTAGCATGGGGAAGAGGGTGGCCTATCGGCCAGCCCTACAACCCATCGGCCAAGGCTTATGCTCATCAACCATCAGTGGTGGCTGGTCGGCTACACTGATGGCCGGCAGCCATTTTTCTCCTTTTTCAGATATTTGTTTGCCAGCTGTGCCAGTTGTTGATCACTGATGCTCATCTCCATACACGTGTATGGAGGGATGAATACAAGCTTGTAGCTTGTTTTTCTATATAAGGAGAGGTCTCTCCCCATTTTGAGGGTTAGAAATTTAAAGAGCAAAAATGTTCCCTCTCTCTCTAGAACTCTCTCTCTCTCTCTTCCTATTTTGTGCTTAAAAGTGAGTTTTCTCTACACATTTGCACTAAGACCCTTAGCCAAACACCTTCACCTTAGAGTTGAGGTTCTTGGAGGTCTTGTTTGAGCTCCTAAAAGTGGTTTTAGCTCAGAATTTTTGTTGATTTGTTGTTGTGCTTCAAGGGTAAGGATTTACCTCTTTTAAGCTTTGTTTTAATTAAGTGCTTTGTCATCTCTTTATGCTATTTTAAGGCTAGTTTTAACCTCTAAAAAACTCTTTTTTTTAAGATTTTAACATAATGGTTTAAGTCTTGTTTGGTTAAGGGGTGGTTTCCTCCTTTTGCTCTTTGACTTGTAAAGCCTTTTGAACCATCTTTCAAAACTTTTGAGTCAACCCTTTTTGGCCTTTAAACCACTGAATTCTAGCGAAATTTCAGTGGCAAAAACTTGGTTTTGAGGTCCCAAATAGAAGGGGGTGGCCTCCCCTCTTTGTGTCTTCTTTGCAAGTGTTAATAGCCCAACATGTGAGCATGTTTTTCTACCATCTCATGGCTTGATCTGAGCATATTTTTGTGACTTTTTTGACCTGCTTTAGCTCTGTTTTTGGCTGGTTGGCTCACTTGTTGTTTGCTTCTTACACTGGTAGTGTAATCATGCTTACTAGCTTAATATGCATAATGAGTTAGCCTATCATTTTAGCTTGTGTTAGTTCCATATCAACATGTTTTTGCTCATGTTTTGTCATGATTTAACTCTGTTTTGAGTAGTCTTGGTCATATGGATCATGTTTTGCATGGCTATAGTGCAAGTGGCTTCACTAGCATTGTGATTTAAGGCTTCTAACATGCTTTGTTTGGGTTGTTTGCATGCCATAACATCATTTAGCATGTAATTTCAGTGCATATATCACTGTCACACTCTCACATATATCACTCTTTCATTACTTCTAAGAGTTGTGCTTTGTGTCTTGCTTGCGAGCCAACATGTACGTATGATTTTCTTGCCTTTCGTGTCTAAATTTCAGCATGTTTTGGCTACTGATTTAGCATGATTTAGCTCTGTTTTGGGCTAGTTTGGTTGTTTGAGCTTGATATTGCATGCTCCTAGTGTAATGTACTTCACTAGCTTTGGTGCTTTTGGCCTTTTAGCGTCTTGCATGCATTGCTTGCATGATTTAATGTCTTTTGCATGCCATTTCAGTGTTGAAATTTTTGCAATCTTCGTCCATGCTTCACTCTTTCATTTGCTTTGAAAGTGGTCAAAGCCCCTTGTTGGCTTGAGCATGGAATTGAGGCTCTCATGCCTAATGGTTTTAACCTTCTCTTGAGGGTTTCTACTCACCAAAAGCATGATGCTTCTTTCACGCTCAAGGTGCTTGTGGCTGAGGCCATCTTTCTCATTAGAGGATTCTTACATTGGACTTAATCAGTTAAAGGACTAATCGGTAATCTAAAATGTGTAAACAAGAATTGGACAAGTAAGACATGAACAAGATAAGCATTCATGTTACATTGCATGTGTTTGGGTCGGACGTTAATCCAAACATAAGAAATGTGAGACGTTTAATACTCAAAGTGATGAAACGTGTCACGTTTCTTGGTCGCCATCATCCTTGATCATGCATGATACGGTGATGGCCATTTGAGTCTTATGTGTGCATTCACTAAGCTTGTACAAAGCTTGGTTCTTTGGCCACCATGCATCGAGATGCTTGGTTAGTGGCTTAAGAGTCGAGTGCCACACTCCTTTGAGCTTGAGAAATGATAAGGAGGATGGAAGTATACACATTTCTTGGAAATACTCTGTCTTGCCTCTGTTTGTGCTCTGTTGCAGCAAAAGGAGGAAGTTCAGGGAAGTAGTGGTCGACCGGCCACATGTACTAGCCGATCGGCCACCAGTGATGGCCGATAGCCATCAATTGTAGTCGATCAGCCATCAGTGTGTTCCTGTGATGGGGCATAAGTGTTCTGGAAGTTGGCACAATTTTTAGAGGATCAAAGTTGTGCAAACAGAGGCATTCGATGGCAAGGCAGTCGTATTTTCGGGAGGAAGCCAACTGAGCATGCATGTCTCCCTCGTCTTCGAGGCCATCTACTTGTTTTGTTTTGTAATTAGTTAGCATTGCTAATCCATTCATTCATACAAGTGTTGTAATATTTTAATTAGCTTAGAATAGTTAGTTAAATTATTTCAAGTGGTGTAATTAATTAGTTAG